ATCCTGTCACTGGATCTAACCAACGCCTTCATCCACTGTGCCGTGTGTCCTTGAGGCGACAAAGATGAGGACAATAGTTGTTTTTATGTTTTAAGTTTGAAAGGTGATGAAACCAGGGCGACTTTAGAGCCACATCTAGATACTTAGGAACATTCTATATGAGACCATTTAAGCAGACTGGGTTATTCGCCCCGAAGGTATTTCTAACTATGCCCCACCTGCAGTGTTATGCACTGATTTTATCAAAAACTGTCATCATATCGTATAGATTTGGCTGTTATGCATGTATCTGGTATGCCCTTATCACACTGGGACTCATAGGTTTATTAAGCTTCGTATATTTGTATCGCAGCGCCATTTTGTTGACGTGCCGCCATCTCACTCAATAATAATAATAATAATAATTTATTTTTGCTGCACAGGACCAATGCTTGTTAACTAGAAATTATGAAGCACACATACTGAAAAATTGTGTTAGCCCAAAATGCAGATTATGTGATAAATATCCAGAAACAATTGACAATCTTGCATCAGGTTGCGCGGTATTGGCACCCACTGAATATAAAACTCGACATCACAAATTGGACCAATATCTGCACTGGAAAATCTGCAACTTTTAAGGAAAAAAATAGTATGAACATCACCCAGACCCGGTTATGGAGATAGGACCTGTAACAATTTTATGGGACTTTATAATCCTATGGCTGATGTTGACAGTCTGTATGTGCCAAGATCTGAAGAAGGCAGAGGATTAGTTCAACTAGAACTGTCTTAGAAAACTACAACCGGCATTCAAAGATACATGGAAACCAAAGAAGACTGGATGATATGTGTCAAAGAACATGAAAGAAGTAAGAAAATCTTTTCAGTAATATAGGGAGGCAACATGTTCAAAATTGTATTTCAAATAGGTGAAGAAATGCAAGTAAAACATAATACACTGACTGTAGCTGCCAAATACTTAAAAAAAGGAAGCAAAGGTAAATACAACCGACCAGAAACGATGACAAAATAAACCGCTTCACGGTCATTACTCTGCCCATACCAAACAAGCTGATGTAGACAAACACAGTACCCATCAGTGTCTACGCAGTGCAGGGTTAAAAGCTGAAGCCAAAAGTTTTATTCTTGATTCACAAGACCAATGCTTGCTAACTAGGAATTACCAATCACACATACTGAAAAATTGTGTTAGCCAAAATGCAGATTCTGTGATAAATATCCAGAAACGATTGACCATCTTGCATCAGGTTGCGTGGTATTGGCACCCACTGAATACAAAAAAAACGGCATAAAAGAGTAGGCCAATATCTGCACTGAAAAAATATGCAACTGAAAGTATGAACGCCATGTAGACCCAGTTACGAAGATAGGACCTGTAACAAATTTATGGGACTACAAAATACACAGAGACAGAACAAATCAGAGCTAATCACCCAGACATCGTTATTAGAGATCGCAAACAAACAAAAAGTTTCCTTATTGATATAGCAGTCCCTGCAGACTGCAATGCATCTTTGAAGATCTTCAGAAAGCTATCAAAATACAAAGACCTTGAAATCGAAATCTCAAAATTGTAGCCCATCAGAACATCAACAATCCCTCGGATTGATTGGAAAATATTCTAATATACTCATTGAAGAGATTCCTAGTAGCCCATGCCTTAAAGAAATACAAAGAAAATGTTATCACGAGTACCGCTCACACCTTACGAAGGGCTTTATCTATGTAAACTATTTTTTTAATTGCTCAGTGGAAAATGTCATGATGCCATTTCTGACCTTAGATCTCTGGTCGGGACCCGGAAAGAAATGAGTATACACCAGAAATCAAATGAAATAAGATAATAATAATAATAATATTGAAGGAAATAGGCCAGGCATAATTATCAAAAGTCGAAACGAAAGAAATTGCCTACTAATTGGTATGGTTTGCCCAGCGGACTATAACATAGCAACCAAGGAATTTGAAAAATTATCGAAGTATAAAGACCTGTTAATCGAAATAGAAAAAAAATGTGGAAATTGAAAATAAGAATAGTACCAGGCATAGTAGGAGTACTTGGAATGATAAAAAAGGAACACAACAATACATTGAAAAAATCTCTGTAAATGCCAGCTTAAGAGAATACAAAAAATGTCTTGATACGGACAGCCGGCATACTAAGAAGAATTTTGTCCATGTAACGCTAGTGATGTTATGGGAGTTAGAAAAATAAATCAGGAAATGTAGCCATAAAAATACACCACTACTTGCCTTAGGTCCTCCCGAAGACTTTGTAGGTAGTGTGACCATAGTAGAAATCAAAATAATAATAATAATAATAATAATAATAATAATAAGAAGAAGAAGAAGAAGAAGAAGAAGAAGAAAGTGGAGTACAATAAATCGGAAATAATGGTGAAAGATAAAATAGATAAGAAGGATTAAGGGGAACTATTGCAGAAAGAAAGCCTCTTAAGAAAAACAAGAATAATCCGGCAAATGATGTAAAGATAAGATAGAAAAGAAGGGTTAATCATTAACCCATGATGTCCATTTGATTCAAAGATAGAGAAAAAAAGGAAGAAGAGAAAGTAATCAACTATGACCCAATGAAGTTTGACCTCGCAAGGTTTTGGAGGTTGAAAATGGTCACAATCATACTGTCACTTGGGCATCTGGTATGTTGATTGGCAAAATAGAAATATGGATGGAGAAAATTAGCATTGCTTGCCAAGTGGAACTATTGCAGAAAGGAAGCCTCTTAAGAAAAACCAGAATAATCCGGTAAGTGATGGACACTTAGAGTCGGAGGAAAATTGCTGGTTGTGAGCCACAAGCTTAATTATTTATAATTACCAGATATTTTGATTTAATCTGAATATTGACAATAATAATGGTTATTTATTATTTCATTTTTTCTTTAACAATACATTATTACCTGCCTTTGGTCTTCCCACAGACTTGTTAGTTAGTTTGACCATAGCAGAAATCGAAGTATAATAATAATAATAATAATAAGAAGAAGAAGAAGAAGAAGAAGAAGAAGAAAGTGGAGCACAATAAACCGGAAATAATGTTGAAAGATAAAATAGATAAGAAGGATTAAGTGGAAATATTGCAGAAAGGAAGCCTCTTAAGAAAAACAAGAATAATCCGGTAAGTGATAAACACTTAAAGTTGGAGGAAAATTGCTGGTTGTGAGCCACTAGCTTAATTATTCATAATTACGGGTATTTTGATTTAATCTGAACAAATATTGACAATAATTATGATAATTTATTATTTCATTTTTTTAGCCTATTTATTATTAATTAAACGACAATATGTTCGTGTCGTTTAGTTGAATCAATTGCTAGGTGTACTGCTAGGAAAGTTGATTCACTGTGTCGTTCTAGACAATTTTTTTGCGCCCGAATCTATCTTACACATTAAAAAATCTACGATTCTTGCATGCTTTTGCTCTGTATCTATAGATTCTTGATAAAAACAAAGAAGAATCTGCAATGTTATTGTTGTTGAGTTATTTCGCAGTGAAGGCTTGTATTTGTACTAAATCAGTCTTAAATAGTTCGACGTACAAAACGTTAGGAACTTCGTATTACGCAGAGTAATCTTATTGTGGTCGCTGACTACTTTCGTATTCGACTACTGTCGTCCGACATCGACTAGTATTTATAATGTACCCTTTGAACCCGTATAATAGCCGCGTTCGGGTTCCTCCCCGCCCGAAGGCAGAGAGTTCAACCGTTCAGCCGGTCGTCCGACATCGACTAGTATTTAGTCACCCCCCCACGAGGGTATCATGTGGCACAAGGCCGGTTTAACGTGGGATCTCCGAGCTCGTGGGCTCGGCCAAAAATATGCCCATTGAACCCGTATAAACGGGTTCAGGGTCGGTTTACCTCCCCGAACGAGACTCTGCCCTTCGGCATAGCCTCGTTCGGGTTCCTCCCCACCCGAAGGCAGTGAGTTCAACCGTTCAGCCGGTCGTCCGACATCGACTGACCCACGTTTCTCTTACTACTCCTACTTATATTAGGTGGGAGAGTCTATTAATTATAGCATAGGTGTGTTTTACCATAACAGTTACTGATCCTGAACCAGCATCTCGGCTTCTGTCACTTTATCACCGTCCTCTTTTGTATATGTATTTTTCATGGTAATTTTTGTGATGAGCTTTTCTCTTGATACTTTATTAATTTATCGCAGTACTAGATTGGCGGTTAGGTCTCACCATTTTACAGTTAAAATGTCTAGATGTAAGTTCTATGCTAATAGATTTTTCACCCGCACTTCTCGCTGGTGGAACACTCTCCCGGCTTCTTGCATTCCAGTCAACTTTGAACTTCAAAAATTTATATGCAATGCCAATCGTTATCTTCTGTTTTCTTAATTCTTGTTATTTTATTGTCCCCGCTTCTTAATAATGTTTTTCTTTTTCTCATATTCTTTCGCATTCACCTTGCAACTTAGTGGCTTTATTGCCTTATTGAAATGATTAAAAAAACGAGATAGAGACATCTACAGATAGAAAGATAGGTATATAGATAATATATAAATAAGAGTAGATATATAGCACTTAATATGAAACTGGGCAAGATGATGTTAAACGTCGTTTATAAAACGCTGGGTTAGAGGAAAAAGATATGAGACTGTAAGGATACCACCAAAGAGTGAACATGCCTGAGAAATGACGTTGCATTTTAAATTTTTTAATCACTCCTTGGGGAGCTAGTTGAAGTAAATAAAAAAAAAAAATCTGACGAATTACTCTTAAGACTTTCGTCAAAAAACTTTCTCCGAGCCAGAGTCATTTAACAGCAACGCCACCGCCATTATTTCCTCTTCTTTTTCCTCCATTTTTTAAAAGTCGTCTGCTGTCCCAGTTGAAACTGCTATATTCGTTTTTTTTTCTTTCTTTCATCTGATTTAATTTCGTTCTCATTTTATCTTTCATGTTATTTTCAATCTTTCTCAATGTCTCTATTTCTTTTTTTTTTCTTCTTCTTTGTTAGCCTTCCGTTTATTTTTCTTACCTGCTATTTCACCAGACGAGGCCAACTGTCTTCGATTGCTTTCGTCGTCCTGGCGTCATAGTTTCCTTCTTCCTGCCTCGTGGGTCTGATGATTTTCCTCCCCTGCCAAAGTCCCTCTTTGAGTTTGGTTTACGTGATTCTTTGTTTTTCTTTTCGTGTATTTAGTTCTCCATCTTTGACACTGTTTTTACTCTTTCTTTCATCTGTAGATGCCATTCACTCGTCCCTTCTTTAACACTTTTCTTTTCTTCTTTTACCTTCTGATTATTCATTGACGTCCTTTCTTTCTTTCTTCCTTTCCTTTCTTCCTTTCTTTCCTTCTTTCTTTCTTTCTTTCTTTCTTTCTTTCAATTAGCTATTGATTTTTCTCTTATTATATATTGTGAGCGTCAGTTTTCTTTCTTTTTACTTTCTTGCCATCTTTCTTTCTTTCTTTCTTTCTTTCTTTCTTTCTTTCTTTCTTTGCTTGCCTGCTTCCTTCTTTCCTTCCTTCCCCCTTTCTTTATTTATCTTACGTATTGATTATTCTCACCTTTTATATTGTTGAAGTTCTTTCTTTCTTTCTTTCTTTTTTTCTTTCTATTACCTACTAATTATTTTTTCTTTTGATATTTTTGGCGACCTTTTCTTTCTTTATTTTTACGTTCTCTCTTTCTTTCCTAGTTCTTTGTTTTTTCTTTCTTCCTTTCCTTTCTTCCTTTCTTTCTTTCCTTCTTTCTTTCTTTCTTTCTTTCTTTCTTTCTTTCTATTAATTATTGATAATTCTCTCTTTTCATATTATTGGCGTCATTTCTTTCATTCTTTTTTTTTTCTCATCTTTCTTTCTATTATCTCTTGATTTTTTCTCTATTTCTGAGATGAGGTATTGTAATTATATCCACTATTTACCTTGTTCGTATTGTTCCAATCACCTGAAGAAGGCCGGAGCGTCGTGAATATGGCAAAAAAAAAAAAAAAAAAAAAGAAAATGAGGACAGCAGTCCGAACAATGTAGATAGTGTACTATACTTATTGATCATTCCCCCTTTTATATCTTTTGACGCTCTATCTATCTATCTATCTTTCTTTCTTTCTTTCTTTCTTTCTTTCTTTCTTTCTTTCTTTCCTTATATTACCTATTGATTATTCTCTCTTTTCATATTGCTGGGGTCTTTTTATCTTTCTTTTTATTTACTTCTTTCTTTTTTTTCTTTCATTCGTTCTTTCTTTCCTTCTTTCTTTTCCCTTATATTACCTATTGATTATTCTATCTTTTCATACTTTCTTTCTTTTTATTTACTTCTTTCTTTTTCCTTATATTACATATTAATTATTCTCTCTTTTATGTCGTTGACTTTCTTTCTATCTTTCTTTTTTTCTTTCTTTCTTTCTTATATTCCCTTTTAAGTATTGTCTTTTTATTTAAAAAAAAAAGGTCAGTCAACCTCATCAGTGCAGCTCGTCCCATTTGCAGCGTGTGCTTACAGCATGACGTCATCAATAAAATGACGTTATCTTAAATCCCTTCAGGAGGTGGAGGAGGAGGGGCGGAAGAAGATGATGATGATGATGATGATGATGATGAGGAGGAGGAGGAGGAGGAGAAATCTTTCGCTCTGATTCAGACTGGAAATACTATTATTCAAAGACAAAGAAATGGGCGTTGAAGAAAAACGACAGAGAAAGAAAGTAAGACTGTAAGCGAGAAATGATAAAGAGAGAGGTAAAGAGAAAGCGAGAGGGGATATATAGAGGAAGGGAGAGGGAGAAAGAGGGAGGTATAGAGATAGAGAAACGTAGAGGTGGGGAAAATAAATGGAAAACAAAACAGAAACCCGACGCAAAACAAAAAAAAAAAAAAATCAAAAAAAAAAAAAACCAAACCAAAAAAAAAAAATAAACCTCAAAGATTTTATTAATAATTAATTTTGAAATGAAAATCGGTTTGGCATTATTTTTTTTAATTTTTTACTCAAAAAACTGAAAACATTTTATACACAACTTCCCGAAGAAGCGACACATTTTTGTCGTCAGTTTTGCCTGTTTAAATTTAACTCACAGAAACAAAACTAAATTTTATTTTTTTATGTATTGTGTCCTTTCAGGACATGGGTGACCATGGCTCTCCACATCCTTCTTATTAGTTTGAAACAACGTTTGTCCTATATTCTACAAACCATTGTTTGGTAATTTATTCGGTGGTGCCTACTGCCTCTCTTGAATTCAATATATCCTGTGAGTGTTAAGTTCTCTAAACCTACTTTCCCGGTTATGTACTTTAGAAACAATAATTTTCAAGTGCCTTTTTGCTTTCATTTCTTTTAACATATTCGCCAAGAAAGGCGATAAGGCAAGGGATTACTGATAGTGTAAACATCTGGGAAAAATTATTATTGAGGAGAGAGGACAATAAAAGTACAGAACACAATGAGACAGAAGATGACGACTAAAGTTGCATTTGACTAATTAAAGTAGCGTAGTTGACAGGAAAGCAAGTAACCGAAATATAGTTGGATAGGTGAGAAATGAAAGAGATGAAACTACTAGTTACTATTACATCTGATTTACACGAGAATAAAAATGGTAGACCAGGTTCGGATTACATGAGAATCAAAAAGGTAGACGATGTTCGGATTACACGAGAATGCAAATGGTAGATATAGGTCCGGATTACGCTAGAACTGAAAATGTAGACTGGTCCCGGATTAAACGAGAATCAAAAAGGAAAACTAGGTCGGGATTACATGAGAATCAAATAAGTAGACTAGGTCCGGATTACACCAAAAGCAAAAACGTAGGCTTCCGGATTACGCGAGAATCAGAAAGGTAGACTATATCCAGATAACACGAGAATCAAAATGGTACACATGGGACCAGATTACACTAGGTCCGGATTACACGAGAATCAAAACGGTAAACTAGTTCCGGATCACACGAGAATAAAAAGGTAGACTAATTCCGGATTACACGAAAATCAGCAATTTAGACGAGGTCCAGATTACACGAGAAAATCTTGACTAGTTCAGGATTACACAAGAATCAAAAATGTAGACTAGTTCGAAAATGGCACGAAAATTAGAAAGGTAGACTAGGTCCAGATTACACGGACATAAAAACGCTTGACTTGGTCCAGATTACACGGACATAAAAACGCTTGACTTGGTCCCGATTACACAAGAATCAAAAAGGTAGATATAGTTCCAGAGTAAACGAGAATCAGAAAGGTATAGGTTCCGGATTGCATGAGAATCAAAATAGTAGACAAGGTCCACATTATACGAGAATACAAAAGTCCGGATTGCACGAGAATGCAAATTGTACATATAGGTCCGGATTACGCTAGAATTGAAAATATAGACTGGTCCCGGATTAAACGAGAGTCAAAAAGGTAGACAAGGTCTGGATTACACGTGAATCAAAAAGGTACACTAGGTCCGGATTACAAGAGAATCAAAAATGTAGAATAGGTCCGGATTACATGAGAATCAAAATGGTAGACATAGGTCCGGATTACGCTAGAATTGAAAAGATAGACTAGTTTCGGATTATACGAGAATCAAAACGGTAAACTAGTTCCGAATCATACGAGAATAAAAAGGTAGATGATGTACGGATTGAACGAGAATCAAAAAGGTAGACTACTTCCGGATAACACGACAATAATATAGGTAGACTAGGTCCGGATTACACCAGTATCAGAAAGGTAGGCTCTTTCCGGATTACACGAGAATCAGAATGCTAGACTAGGTCCGGATTACACGAGAATCAAAATAGTAGACATAGTCCCGGCTTACGCAAGAATTGAAAAGGTGGACTATGTCCGGATTACACGAGAATCAAAAAGATACACTAGGTTCCAATCGCGCGAAAATCAGAAAGGTAGACTAGGTCCAGATTACACGGGCATAAAAACGCTTGACTTGTCCCCGATTACGAGAATCACAAAGGTCGATATAGGTCCGGATTACACGAGTTATCCAAATGGTAGATATAGACCAGGATTACGCTACAGTTGAAAATGTAGAGTAGGTCCGGATTAAACGCGAATCAAAAAGGTAGTGTAGGTCCGGATTACACGAAACGAAAAAACCTGACTAGTTCCGGATTAAAAGAGAATCTGAACGGTAGAGTAGGTCCAGATTGCACGAGAAGCAAAATGGGAAACTAGGAAGGGATTACACGAGAATCAAAAAAGGTACATTTATCCGGATTACACGGGAAATAGAAAGGTACATTTATCCGGATTACACAGGAATTAGAAAGGTACATTTATCCGGATTACACAGTAAATAGTGTATACTAGACACGGATTACACGGGAACCAAAATGATCCGGATTACATAAGAATCAAAAAGGCAGACTACGTCCAGATTACACGATAATGCAAATGGTAGATACAGGTCCGGATTACACTAAAATTGAAAATGTAAACTAGGTCTAGATTAGATGAGAATCAAAAAAGTAAACTATCCGATTGCACGGGAATCAGAAACATAGACTAGGTCCTGTTTACACGAGAATGAAAAAGATAGACATAATCCCGGATTATACTGGAATCTTCAAGGTAAATTAGGTCCGGATTACACGAGAACCGAAACGGTAGAATTGTTTCGGATTACACGATAATCAAAAATGTAGATTATGTTCGGATTACACGAGAATCCAAATGATAGACATAGGGTCGGATAAAGCTAGAATTCAAAAGGGTAAAATATATATATATATATATATATATATATATATATATATATATATATATAACTAGACTCGTTTCGAAAAACCCTCGAATTTTTGATTTGCTAATAATCAAATCGATCTCGAGGGAAAAAAAGGTTTTAAAAAAAGAAAGAGCTGCAAACATGAACTTCTGCCGACAAAAAAATCGCACAGATGCAGGTCTGAAGCCCAAAGACAAAACCCCGATACGAGTAAACAACTAACAAAAGAGCTCAATACAACCGTAGAACAGACCTAAATACACCTAGTGAGCCAGACAAACCTACCCTATCGTCAGGGAAAGTAAGGCTCGATCCGTTTAGGTGAAACCTAGGTAGGTTTGTCTGGCTCACTAGGTGTATCTATCTATCTATCTATCTATCTATCTATCTATCTATCTATGTATATATACTATAATTGGTTAAAGAACTAGCATTAAAATAAAATTAAAATTAATTTCTACAGTAAAATAATTCGTTGTGAATTCTCATTGTAAAATAATTTGCAATGTATTTCTGAACTAAAGCAATTTATAATAAATGCTTAAAGTTTTTGCAGCGTTGCTAAATTCGTAATCATTAGAAAGGACAATTGAATTCATTTGTCTATATAATAATGTTCCAATTTCTATTTAAAATTGCATAATAAAATGGAGAAAAGGTATGTCGTCAGGAGGATTTTTTTAGGACGACCCTTTAAATTGTTCTAACTTGAAAATATAAAGCAATATGAAGTTTATCCACCAGATATAAAACTCAGCATGAGAGGTTGTGCCAATATCAGCAACTTTTATGAGAAGGAATTTGTAATAAATTGGCCTGGACATCACCCAGACCCGGTTACAGACGATCTGCAACTATTTTATGGACTTTACAATACACACAGAGAACAATAAAAATGAATCACCCAGGCATAGTGATCGAAGACCTCAAAAACAGAATGTATTTTCTTATAGACATGAAAGTTTCTGCAGACTTTAATCTATATTTGGAGATCTTCAAAAACTACCAAAGTATAATACGAAGATCTTCAAGTAGAAATCTCAGAAATATGGCACATGAAGTCATCAATAATTTCAGTTGAATCTCTGGTAGCTCAAGCTTTAAAGAAATACAAAATATTGTTAACACAAGTACAGCTCACATATTACAAAGGGCTTTATCTATGTAAAATGTATGCGGTTTTACGTTGTTTTATATCTCTTACGAAAATGATCAGTAAAAATTCATGATTCCATTTCTGACCTTAGGTCTTTGAGATCAATAAGGAAATCTGTATACAACTGTAATCAAAGGAAATAATAAGAATAGTATATTCCAAACTTCTAACATGTTACTCATCCTGTTATAGCAAAACTTTAATGAAATGATTCTGGAACCAACATCGACATCAGAATGGTTCTCCGAATGTGTTGCGTACTTGCTACAAAAAATAAAAATGACACAGAAAGCCCTCGAGATCCTTGATAAAATCCAGAGACGAATATGCAATGTAATAGGTCCTGATCTGGCATCTAGTCTACAGTCGATTTCTCACAGACGTACCATGTGTACATCTTTGAAAACGCCCGAGGTAATATTACAAAGGATCTCCAGATAGAATTTAGTATAATATATAGTATAATATGGCATCTCAAGATAACACGATTACCTCTTGACAATGGGACTCTATTATATCAACAGGAGCAAAAAAAAGAGTAACAATTTTCTGTTCACCGCAAACGATAATCAATACTCAGTCGTACTTGTTCTAGTGAGTTTAAAAAAAAAAACATCCCAAAATCAAGAGAGCGTATATATGTCTTAATGTTAAACGCTGTAAACAGCAAAATTTAGTTCTCATCAATGCTCAAGGGAAAACAACTGCTACACGTAGTTGCGTATCTATCTATCTATCTATCTATCTATCTATCTATCTATCTATTCCTTATTAAATCAACTTCAGTCAGCCAGTTATGTGCCATTTACGCGATCATGCATTTTTCGATAAGTGACTGACGAGGAAGATTTCTTTCCCGCGGTAGGTTGCCATTTCTTTCTACACTAGTCAGCTACCATCCAAGGCTATAGAACTAGGTCTGTCCTGCTATTTACCAGTAGCCGAGGAAAAAAAAGAAGAGGATTCATGCCTTTCCCAAGGGTATTAACACGTAAGTGAATGTAATGGATTCGACTGGAATTCGAACTCGACTCTCCGATTCCTCAATCCATTACTCCACCAGTACCATTTTTGACTTCCATCAGCATTAAATGAATTAAATTATATTGAATGAATATGCTTGGTCTGCAAATATATCCGCTGTGTCGTGCTAGACAATTCGTTTCTTCAGAATCTATCTTGCATCGTTATAAGTCTACCCTTCGTCCGTGTATGAAATATTGCTGCTACATCTGGAGTGTTCCTTTTGCTACGTATCTCACAGTTCTCGAAATCCGAAAGAAGACATTCTATCGGTCTTAACCTGGCATCTCGAATTCAGTCTCTTTCCCTTTTTCTATTACCATTTTCTTGGCGATAGTTCTGGAGTCTCGACTTCATGAATTGAAGCCCAGTACTTGATTGGCAGTTAGGTTTTGTCATTTAACATTGCTAGACGGATTTATGTCAAATCTTCGTTTAATTTTTTTTTTTGTCATTGGATTGTAGTAGGTGTATTTCCTCTTCATTTTAAAAATATCAATTGTGATCATTTTATTATTTTATTTATAATACTTGACAATTTTTACCTGGACCTCCACCTTAAAAAAATAGATTTGTTTAACGGCATGTCAATATCCTTATGGGTCATATAATGCCGAAAATTAATTTCCTTGCGAGCTTTGTGATGAAAATAGAATATGTTATTCTGTTTTCACAATTGAATACATGGTAGATGATACTCACCTTTTCCACATATACATGTTTGTGTAGACATAATTGCGAGAGGCGGTGATATGTGTTTCACGTTGTAGTTTTGTTGAAGTTATATTTTGGAATACAGTTCGATTTAAAATATATTGTTGATCATTTTCCTATAAAATGTATTATTGGTAATTTTTTTATATAAAAATGTATTGTTGGTGTTTTTACTATTAAAATGTATGTTTATGTTTTCATAGAGTTTTGTTTGGGGAGTTTACTGTATTGCCATAGCTGGGACCCTTACATGTGCCACAACTCCGGGTCAGAGTTGACTTGGGAACAGCAGCAGTTAAGAGGTGGTTCCACGTGCCTCAAAACCTCCAATCTTCCGATCAAAAGTTTTGCTGCCGGATGTAGTTTATCGTCATACCCAGGACCATGAAAAAAGAAAAAAATGTTGTCTGAATGTAATGTAATATCTATCTATCTATCTATCTATGCATATATATTCATTATCTATCTATCTATCTATCTATCTATCTATCTATCTATCTATCTATCTATGTAAGTATGTTCATTATCTATCTATCTATCTATCTGAGTATGTTCTTATCTATCTATCTATCTATCTATCTATCTATCTATCTATAGATCGCATAAATTATCTTTACTCCACCAGTAAGTACCTGATTCTTCCTGCTATCCTGTACTTTTACAAGAACCAGGTAAATCTATCTATCTATCTATCTATCTATCTATCTATCTATCTATCTATCTATCTATCTATCTATCTCAGTCTTTACATTACCTGCCTTTGGTGTCGTTAGTTTAATCTCATTTGACCAACTGTACTTTGCGTTTCAGGTTATTGTGAAATATCCACTTTTCACCGTCCCTCATAATTTGTTTAAAAAACGAAGCATTTAAGTACAGCCATTACATTTTTATTCATTTATGTGGAAGGCACACATCCAAGAGACTAACATAGCCAAGTTGCTGAAAACGCTTGATTTGGATATTTTGAGAATGTTGTTTACTTCCCCATCGTATAACGTTAAATGCTCTTAAGTAATGTGTTTATTTGATTGCTATCAATCCTCAGTCTATATTTCTGTTCAAGACTTTGCAAACCACATTTGACATTTTCAGACATTTACATTCTCCACGAACTTCACAAATATTTGGTTTTTGCTTTTGCTTAGTAACATTTCAAACTCTGTAGAATATTTAATGGTTGACGCTAAATGTTTTGTTCGCAATTTTATTTTATTTTTGGAGATAATAATAGTTTAGTGATACGAGTAATATTAATTAAACTATAGCTGGGAAGAGGTGGATTCATGCCTTTCCCAAGGGATATTTGTGCTTAACTGAATATAACGAACTCAACGGGAATTGGAACTCGGCTCTCCGATTAACAATTTGCGTGCCATTATCCATTATGCCATCCGCTGATGAAAGCTTACAGCACCTGATATTCCCAAACGGTCGCCCATCTAGGTACTGACCAGGCTAGATGTTGCTTAACTTCGATGAAGCGGTGTTTTCCACGTGATGTGGCCGTAAAACTTGGTTCTTGGGTGTTTTAATTGCTTTTTATCTCTCTTAAACGAATGCCAAAAAAGTTACTCATTTTCTGCCATCTTGGAATGGAGGTTTAAAAAAGGTCGACCAAGTTTGATAATATTTTTAATTGACACAATATATACAGAATAACTGAAATGATCAATATCTTCAAATCGTAAATTGTTATAATCAGTCATACTCATCCATATTTCTACAATTAGTGTGACGAAGAAATAACAGATATTGTGTCGTCGACTGCTGTAGTCTTGAACGAAAACGAGACTAAATTTCAGAACGAGGCTGTAGGTCCTATGGCGAGTGCAAAGTAAAAAAAAAGGCTTCAGAATTCTCTATTCTGGTTGATGTTTTTATTTGATTATTTAAATGAGTGCATGACGGCCCATTGTGGCCATTAGTTCTCCGGTCATTCCTGACTGGCTAATTGTGCTGTCGTGTTGTTTCCGCATAAATCCTGTCCGCTCCCGTGACGTATCGAGGTGACATTTACAGTATCATATCACATCAAGCGCCTTAAAGAGTATAGCCGAACGGTGCTAATAGTTCACATAGAATTCACAATTATATGCCGGTTTCATGACAGTGTCATCGGCTGTCGCTGTTACGCATCCATTGTCTGGACACTGACGCTACCGCTGTCACTACGATTACTATCGAGGGTCTGGCCACTGATCTGGGTTTTTTTAGCCGGGAGATATTGAGGACGGGTAGGCCGAAAACGAGTGATCATTTCCTGGACTGTGTAATTAACATCACTCGCTGGCTATTCGAAACCAGTCAGGCAGGTGTGCTGCGTGAATAGACAGTTTTCTGATTTGCTAGTTTGAAGTAAGCTGGCTTTCCGGAGAAAAGATGAAGGAAGGGCCATGAGCTGTGGAGATGTGGGTGTTTATGAAGACGAAATTGAAGATCTAGGTGCAGGTGTAGTGCGTGGTGGCGGTTACACTGTGCAGACCGCCCAACTCCCGAAATAGTTTGTCTCGTTGTCTTGGGAATTCTGGCGATTTCAAACATTCATAATCCCAGCGAGAAATATTGTTGATAATGGCCAGTCTAGCTTTAATGTTCGTTGGCCGGAATGATTATCATGAATTATGACTGCTGGACAAACACGGCCGGAGATCGGACCGCCTGATACCTATTGTCATTGACATTAGTATCATTGGTCAGCTATGACTAAACCGAGCGGTCAGTGAACAACTCCGGCGATGACTAATAAGGCTGAAACATAGTCCATCAATCCATCCCACTCCTTCCATACGTCTGAAAATGACCAATTGGAAACTTACGGCCAATGGTCAGCCTGGATAGATGTACCAGTGTCTATTTAACCCATGCCCTACAAGACAGATACTTTGTTTAGATTAGTGATTGCTTTGAAAAACAGTAATAAATCGAATTGGTCACCGTTACCTAAATATTCTTAAGCAAGGGCGATAATTATGTCTGGATAGACGGAGTGCGCATGACGGTAGGAATCATAATTCAATCGAACGGACATTCGTCTGCCGAAATTGAAGGCATTTCTTTCTTGTCTCTTTATTTCATGTTTCGGGATAATTCATGTTTAATAATTTTGACCAGGTTTTTCGGAATCGCAAACTGATCAAGAAATGGACACGGGTCTATGCAAGGGAGGTTGTTTTCTCTAGAGAACAAAGAGGTTTTACAAATAATTAGTGCCGAGTTTCACCTCCTACGTTCAAAATCAATTCCTTGGGGTATATTGTTTGACTAATTCCTCGTTTATCCACTCTCAGTGCCTGTCAATGTCGATCTGTCTGTTTCATGTAAAAGCTTGGACTGCATTCAAAAGAGAAATTCTTGCTAAGCGATGTCTTCAGAATTATATATATATATATATATAATTGTATATTTAGGCAATAATCCGTCTTTTATACAGGTTTAATTAAAGACGACTGTCAAGGTAGTGTGTTTAAGCTTTTTATTTATTTTTTTGTGTTCGTATAATATTTTTTTCTTTTTTGAACATAAATTATGTAAAAAACTGTCCGAATGTCCTGTCTGTCCTAGCGTTTTCTTTTAGTCATTATGAAGGGTGTTCTTTTTTTCATTTTTAACTGAATTTGTATTTTTTTTATTTATGTATCTTGAGCAGTGTTTCTTACCCTTTTTAAGCAACCTTTTTAAGCAACGCAAATATCACGGCACACCTAGCGGATCACGGCGTAAATATCACGGCGCACCTATCACGGCGCACCGAATATCACGGCACACCACCAAATATCAGCACCCTAGGAGCAAATATCACGGAGCAAATATCACGGCACACCTAGGAGCGGAGGAGCAAATATCACGGCGCACCTAGGAGCAAATATCACGGCGCACCTAGGAGCAAATATCACGGAACACCTAGGAGCAAATATCACGGCGCACCTAGGAGCAAATATCACGGCGCACCTAGGAGCGAATATCACGGCGCACCTAGGAGCAAATATCACGGAACACCTAGGAGCAAATATCACGGCACACGGCGCACCCTAGGGAGCAAATATCACGGAACACCTGAGCAACATTTTTAGAACACCTAGGGCAAATATTCAAGGGAGCGAATTTAAATGTTATAGGGAAATAAACGATAGGATTTTTAGGAAAAATACGCACATTTTAAATGTTATGAAATAAAACGATAATTTTTATAAACTTCCTTTATTTCAATGTTTCTATTAAACTATTTATGCATCTTATTTAGTAAAAAAACCTGCGAATGTTGGTTTTTTTTTTGTTTTTTTGACAATTTCCTCAATGTTTGGTCGAATGTGTGATAAGCAGATCCTCATTTCTTATTCAGTTGAGTGTAGTCTTTCTCTTTTTTTTTTTTCGGAATGTCATGAAATCAAATAAGCCTATACGATACCAACACTGCCACTGAAGTTGACTTTCTATGAGGAGAAGTTCTTAGAAATAGTTTATCAGTGTCGCGGATGACCACACAATAACCAGAAAGACATTCATAGAACACATTGAAGGCAAGATGGACAGACGGAATAAATGGATAAATATCTTTTCAGGTTGCAACTGACAAAACATGCTTCTAGCGGACATCAAAAGCAGGTCGATCGTCTATACAAAAACTCATATATATATGAAAACATATACTCTTAAGGTGTGTTATATTTATGGGATAAAGTGCTCAATATCAGAGATAGAGCGTGTGTAAATATAAAAGTGAACATAAAGTCAACACTTAGAGGCGACAGACGATTGCGTCTAGCATGAAACAGCCTGTCGCCTCTAAGTGTTGACTTCAATATTCATATATATATATATATATATATATATATATATATATATATATATATATATATATATATATATATATATATATCCGATCCGATGATGAGAACGAAAGTAATATATAAATTCCAACGTTCACAACATTAATCTGAAAAAAAGAGGGCTCAATACCGATAGTAGAGTGATAATTATTTATTTATTATAATTTTATCATATAGACAAAACCATCTTAATTTTTTTTTTTTCATCTTTGTAGCAAGTAAAATGGTTTTGTTTTTTGATTTATATGATATATATATATATATATATATATATATATATATATATATATATATATATATATATATAAGCGTTTCACCCCAAGCATGTCGGGAAGCCACTAGCGCACAAGTGGTTGCAGAAAGTTGTAGCGAGAGCAAATAGGAGTGATAGAGGAAAGTATGAAGAGAAGGTTAGGGGATAGATCAAGGCATCTGGAGATGTCGCTTTTCTTTTTGATGTGATGTAGGGTTGAGGGGGTCTAATTCATATAAATAAGAAGTAGAAAATTGCAATAAATCTGATAAATCCTTTTTAGCTAATATGGGATAAAAAGTTTAATGCTTATTTTATTATTCAAATACTAACACTGTACCATTACACACACACACACACACACACACACACACACACACACACACACACATATATATCAAGACATTTTTATGATTATACATTCTATACATAGATACAAATATTTAAGTAAATGCTCTGTTTACAATAAACAGTATTAACGACATTTACTATTTGAATGTCCGAATGTCTTAAAATAACTGTCGGACTTTGTCCATTTTTAATATATATATATATATATATATATATATATATATATATATATATATATATATATATATGTATAAAAATATATATGACAATATTTCACGGTGCACTTAAGAGGATCGCGCGGCACACTAGGGAATGACTGATCTAGAGTTATGGGAATCCTTTATTTATTTTTCAAACACGGTCAGCACATTGTGACCGTATTCATATTTGGCGTTATTGTATATATATATATATATATATATATATATATATATATATATATATATAATAGCTGGGCTGGCCACTCGTAGTCGAGCATACCCGTTTACTATGGTGGGTAGCCAATCCCTTTTGCAAACCCTCGCTCAGGCAGATTTATGTTTATTCAACACCAACAGAGTCCTTCTGTGGTTTATACTGCAACTGTGCTGAGCAGACCTTAGTTACAGTTCTTGGAAAGACCGTGTTATCTAGCGTGATCAATAATTTGAATATGGCCAGCACACTCAAGCCCTCGGTCACGATGACTTGTGTCTTTGTGCTAGTACAGCTATCGACGGCCCCCAAATGACCCGTCAACCCAGTTTGAACAAGGCCAACACGCCCAAGAATTCCGTCTACCCAGTTTGTGGTATGGTTTTCGTGTGATTTGCCACATGCTGGGATCGACCTCGATCCATTCCGATAACATCAAAAAGTCTCTTTCCTGACAATGAGTCTCATGGTTAGAAAGTGAACATTCTAACCATTTATATATATATATATATATATATATATATATATATATATATATATATATATATATATATATATATATATATATATATTGAAGTCAACACTCAGACGATTGCGCCTAGCATGAACCAGCCTGTCGCCTCTGAGTGCTGACTTCAATGTTCACTTTTATATTTATATTCATA